ATATATATGCATATACACATACATATATAAGCCAGCGCAAAAATCTAATTAAAAGTACCTTAAAATAAAAAGTGCATCCTCTCTTAGTCTGATGGAAGAGAAGATGGGGATACAACATTCCAGTGACAGTTGAAAGTGAGTAAAAATCTGTGTAATTTAACATGAACTGGAAGGAATGTAATCTTTAAAAAAATTACTGAAACACACGAGTCGTAAAGAAGACTACTTTATACCTTCAGTAGATTTTCTCTGTTGTCTAATATGCATGGCTACAGGTGGAAACGTCTGTGTCTGCACACACATATGCAAAAATATGCATTTGGAAAACTATGATTATCCCTCTGTGCTCACTTTTAAATACCATAATATTTGATGGTGAATGTATATTTAATTCATAACAATAACTACTCAGTGTTATCTTTAAAGAAATCAATGACTCAACTTCATTAAGCAGAATATGGATGGTAATACATTCCACACATTAAAAGAAGATTAATGAACTGCTGAGGAGCTCCCTTCTGTTCTCCCCAGTGTATGTGTAGCTGCTGCAGCAGGGAACAGCAGCTCTCATATTTTCAAATATAGGAAATAGCTCTCAGGCTTTTCAAATAAAGTTGTACTCTGTCTTGTATGCAGGCCAGGGCCTATACATTGAATAAATCATCAGAAGTGTATTCCATTTCTTTTAAAGAGAGCACAGTAGTGCTCTCTATTTTTTATTGATTGCATTTTGCAGGGGAAAATTGAATCCATTTCTTGTCAAGGCCCCTAAACCTCATATCATAAAGAAGAAAGAAAAGGAAAAGATGGATGAAGTTCAGTGGAATTAGCCAGAAAGAATGATGTTTCCTATTGTGTGATGATAAATTTTATTTTTTCATCTTGCCTGTATCAAGTGATAGGTAGCAGCTGAAGTACTTTGAAGTAATAATCTTCAAAGACTTCTTTTAGCAGAATTGAAAATAAGTTTACTGGAGAGTTATCTCCAACTAGATTTTCTGCCAATTATCAGTCAAAGGCTCTTTCCTGTGTAAAAGTTAACTCAATAGAAAGGCAAGTGTATGTACAGTATCTCAGTATGTGTGCTATAGCACCTTTAAACATTTTATTTTAGTAAAATGCATTTTTTTTTAATAACAGAAAATAAATTCTCATTATATTCATGAAGTCAATATAAATTAACTTTCAAATTAGGATATTCTAACAGGTGCTATGGTCTCTCCTATGAGCTAGTGAAAGTAGCACTGCACTGATTTTTATGTGCAAATTAAGAATCAGGATATTTTATAAGGAACCATTTGAAGAATATTTTTGTGCTGATTATGAATGATTTTGCTTTATTTTCTTTGAAAGTTTCAAATCCATTCCTGTAGGCTTTAAACCAGAACTCAGAGGTATTGGTTGAAATTGCCAATTACCAGACGTATTGCATTCAAATTAAAAAAAAAAAAAAAAGGATTTGATTTATAGCTGGCTTTTTGAAGTGCAGGGTGTATGTTTTAGCAGAAGGAAAACATTAATAGAAGTTGTGGGGAAACACTTAGAAAAATAAATTATTAAAACTGAAATTCCCAGCACCCTTTTCCTCATTTACTGATTAATGGATTAGTTAACACAAATGTGGATACATTCGTTATCAAGTATACTTTAAGATAGAATGAATAAAAAACCCCAAACGACAACAAAAAAAAAACTGAATGAAGGGAGCTACTTTGAATTACAAAAAGAAAGTTGCTGCAGGAATGATTGTTTTAATGATCATGCAATCAGCTATTTGCGTATCGGTCCCACCAAATAAACTCTATCTTTGTTCCAAGCACAAATTTTTAATGAGAAAGTGAATTAAGAGGAAGGTGATATATGTTGAACCTCACATGTGTGCTGTTATATATAGTGTGTTATTGAAATGAGACTCAGGCACTTACTGCAAATTTCTGGAGTTCAGGAAGATCTGTTTCTGCAGTGTCCGAGAACAGATATATTACATACTGTTAGCAGCCTTTTCTCAGATTTATTTCATCTTACTTCTGTTAAGATGTTCTGTTCTTTTGCTTTTCTTGCATTCCAAATAATTTGATTTTTTTTTTTTTTTTATTTTAATTCCAGCATCATGTGTTGGATTGTTTGTGGGTTTTTTTTCCCTTGCTGCAAGCTCTTTGATTTTTTGAGTCTGTTGCAGTTGTCTCTGGAAGAAAGTTATAGAGGAGGAGGACGGGGAAAGTGGGACATAAATAATATTATAAAACTCTTGACTCTTGACTATAAAACGTCACTTGCCCACAAATACTGTAAACAAGGTCTGGTAATCTTTATCTCTTACTTTATAGCTAATCTCAACAAGTCTAATAAATTGCTGAAATTTTCAATTCCAATATATAGATTAAGACATTCAGTATTTATTTATTTTACTATTTGTAGATTGTCTCCTTAATGTCTCTTTTTTTTATATGTGTGTATTTTAGGTATATACTTCTGTATGTATGACTCTGTATGTACAGAGGTGTCTGTAACATAGGTTCATATATATATACATATATATTTTTGCAACACATTTTTGGGTGATATTGCACAGACAGTCTGCAACAGTATTCTTAAATGTATAGTAAGATGTTTAATATATCTTCAGTGGACATAGTTTATTCATTAATAAGCTTACAGTTTGAGGGAAATCCTCTTTTTAGAAATATTGAATCACATTTTGTATGAGAAGATTTTTTTTTTCCATGGAATGCACAGTCACCAATTTAGAAAAGCATTTATTGGCATGATTAACTTTAAATTTAAAAAAAAAATTAAATTTTTCAAGGGTATCAGTGTCCTGACCAGGGTCATAAAGTCAATGATAGATTTGGGGACAGAATCTGCAGCAATTTGAACTCATGTCACAAGACCAAAGAAATGCACTGATTTATGCTGTTATGGGGCTTGGGAATTCATAGTGAACCCTGAAACATAAATGCTTTTCAATGAGCAAAGAGGTAACAATTAATGTCTCCCATGTGCCTTAACTAAGTGTCCTGAGCTCCAGTGCTCATAGGCTTCCAGTGGGCCAAGTACTCTGTCCACTGGATAGGGAAACAGTAACATGAAAAGAAACAAAAGCTGAAAATTTCTTATCTAAGTAAATGACAGAGCTTCTAATGACTTCATAGAGCCACTTCTGGAAATAAGATCTGACACAAAGTCAAGTTTAGAAAGTCTGTACATAATGCTTAATTACACAGCAGGTCAAACAGGATCTAAAAAAGATAAGAACCATCTTAAAATTATAATTAACATCTCATGGTGCCTCAGGGAATTGTTTTTCTTTCTTAAGTAAACGTATATTTATTTATAATTATCTAATTGACAAAGAGACAGGTATATAGTACAAGCTTATTTCTTACAGGAAATCTTAAGAGTTGGAAATTTAATTTGATATTGCTATAAAAAGCTGTCTCTTGAGAGAGTAATACCTTAAAACTACTTTAAAAAAAACCCAAACCTTTCTGAAAAACACATGGTGTAGCAATTTTCTCCTTAACCTTTAAAAACAAGCCTATAAAATTTAATGCTGTGATCTCATTTCTTTAGTACCTGTTAACAGCCTCACTTTGTAAGTGGGCTGTCAACTCTTAACTTTCAATCCATCCTTATTTTTATTGTTTCTTTTTTTCCCTGGTAGCAGGGGGATAGAAAGTAGACCTACATACCAAATTTTGCACAGTGATGCCACTCAGGCCCCAGCTGCTTTTATTTCAGCTTGACTTGCCCATTTGCAAGAGAGGGAAATACACAGATATTTCCTGTGTGCAATACCATAGTGTGAGCAGGATCTGTATGAGTGTTAACTTTCATAGGATTTATATCTACATCTTTAACTATTTCCAAAAGGGTTTTTTTTTTTTCTCCCCTCTAGGTCCCTTTCCACTCTTGGCTTGCTGTTCTAGGTGTTTCAATTTAAGAAACGTTACTTCAGGCAATGCAAATGAAAAAGTTAGTGACGAAACCAACAAAAAGCCTTTGCTTTTCATACTTAGCTGTATATTTGCTATTGCCTAAAATTATTATGATTTTTTGGGAAGGAAATTAAATAAATATTTACAACTGATTAAATGAGGTGAAAAACATGATTTATCATGTCGTAAGATGTTTTGTATCACAATAAAATTTCTGACTATAGCCCATGAATAATTACTGTAGCAGTGTTCATCAATTTTAAAGTTTCCCAATGCATCTCTTTCTTAAAAAGTCATAGAACATATTAATATACTATATATTTGGTAGATTATATAAACTATTTGATGGATTATAACAAGCATTGGAACAGGACAGCTCTATGAATGTAAATTTCTGTGTAACTGGCCACACAGTGTTTAGCTGAAAGGTGAATTTCCTTGCACTTCAAGTTCAGTATGGAACTGACCCAACTTACAAAGGTTATCTTACTGTAAGGGCCCACACCTATGAATTAAGATCTGCTTAACATGTGATAATAAGCACTACTGTGTATGCAGCCTCACCTTAGTATTACAATCCAAATAACTCATCAATGTCTTTTTCCCGTGTAATCCTTTACAGCATCCATTTGGAAAGGGACATCTTTGTTACCCTTATGAGAGGTATATACCTACTTTTGTTAACGTCATTCTAGTTGTTCTTATTGCAGTGTGTTGTAATTAGTAAGAATCAACTTTATACGCTTGCATATTTCTATAAATGATCTTTTCTATGATTGGGAAGTGCAACTAGAGTGACATCTTAGAAACAAAGTATTTGTAGAAGATATTGGCTGTGCAAATAATTCAAGAGTCATTGCATACAAATAATGCAATGGGAAGAAAGCAGCATGAGGAATTTAAAGAAAATTCCCAAGGAAAGGAAGTGTGTTTCTTTAAAATTATTTTCTGGGTTAGTTAAATGTAATTGCTTTCTGCAATAGTCCAGTTTTCTTTTTGGAGTCATTGCTTCTTGTGTTAGGAAGTGACTTTCTAATGACAAATGTGTTTTGTCTTTGGCAGCAACCATAGTGTTAAACGAACTCAACTGGACGGCAGCATTGGATGATGTGTTCAAGAGGAACAGAGAAGAAGACCCCACTTTATTATGGCAGGTTTTTGGCAGTGCAACTGGCCTCGCAAGGTATTACCCAGGTAACTGAAGTCACCTTAACAACTGTCCTATGCCATATATTGTCCTAAAAATATTCTAAATTATTTACAAACAGTAAAACATAACTAAGAATTGCTTTCTTACATAGATGCAGTTTCTGTATATCAGAATTAACTTAAGGACTTTGAAATTAATCTAGCATAAAGCTAGTGTGAGGGGGAAGAAACTGGGAGTAAAATATGAAACTATATTCTTTTTCAGTAAGAGGAAGAGAAGATTATGTCCTTTGAAACACTGAAGAGTCAAATTTTATTTTTGTATTGTTTCCATATGTTGTGTAAATAATCAGTTGAATATTTGCCAGTGAGATTTTTGCACCTTTCTAGTTTTGAAAATAGGGACCCGGAGACTAGGCATATAATCATATGTAATGAAAATACGAATACATCGTGCTATGTTTATGTCCCTCAAAATCCGTGATCTCTGACATGTTCATCTTTGGTGGTAGAACTAAGGTCAATGAATGCAACTTGATTACTTCAACCAACATCTGTTCCACCTGTCAAAAAATCTCATCACTGGATCACATGAATTAATTTAAATAGATGCATATTTTACTTAATTTCAATCATCAGTAGCCCTAATTTGATTTTGGTTGTGTGATAACTAATGGAAAGACTTAGCTTATGTATGTTTTATGGCAAGGCCTGTGCTGCTGCTGTTCTTGTTAAGTGACGCTGTTATCAATGACAGTCCACTATATGCAAGACAATTGTGTGCAGCATCTTGACTCATGCCTACAACTGCCTAGGGAAGAATTTTGAGATCCTTTCTCTTCTGTTTATACAAGATTGTTTGTGTTTCTGAAGGTGAAGGGGATTATTCTAAAGCTGTTACTGTATCATTAGCACAACTGCTAGCACAGGCAGAGAAACTGCCTCAGGCTATTTTACATGAACAATATTTCATAGCACTCGAATCCTGTTTGTTTTGTCATGCTGGATGATCATGAAATAAATACAGTGAGATTTTGTTGCAGAAAAAATAATATTGAAAATGCCAATTTCATATTTCTTTTGTTTTCCAAGTGTTCTGTTTCAATGCTTTTCGGATCTCTTAGTGCTGTATTTGGGGTCAGCATTTGTCACTGCTTGCTATGTGATGTTTTTCAAGTGTTGAAAAAGAAGTGTTTCNTAGGGAATTAATTTTCAAGTGTAAGATTATCTCATAGACTGAAAAATATATTCTTATGTCTAGCTAACCTGTCTACTCCAGTTCAACAACACAACACAGGAGCCTCAGAATCTCTATGTATTCTTCCTTAGAGAACCTCTATAAAATGGGAGAAGCTTGTTTTCCCTGTTTTGCGGATGAATATGTTGCTTGTAGATATTCCACCTAAACATAAATGTAAATTTTGTATAAAATTTAGATCCTTACACATCCTGCTTATTCCACGGCTAGTTATTTAAGTCTTTTTTAGCAGTCCAGTCCTGTCAGAATATGACTTCATAAATTTCTGGGTAATTCCCCAGTTCTTAAGTTCTACACACACAGACAAGTGTAGATCATTCTGATACTCCTTAGTTTATAGGTGTGTTGTTTTGTGCAGCTGCTTCCCAATTTCTTCCATTTGTTGCTTGAACTTTGATACAGTGAATATTCTGAGTTGGAAGTACCCACGAGGATCATCGAGTCCAACTCTTATGCGAATGGCCAGTGTGGGGATTGAACCCACAACCCTGGTGTTATTAACACCATGCTCTAACCAACTAAGCTAATTTCAGGGTCAACCCTCTGTGTTAGATTTTTGGAGTAGGTCTTTATGCAATGTTGTCTATGTTTCTCTTTTTGTAAACTCTTTTTTTTTTTGCACTTGTTGACACAGAGAAATGTTCTGGAAATTAATTCGAGTTTCATATACTAAAATATGAAATACTTTTCACATTTTCATAATACTAAATGATATTATAAATTGTAAAACATTGCTTTATTATATTGGCCCGTGGTAAGCCTTCTTCAAAGTGATGAATTTTTCCATAGTGATGATATTTGTAAAAGAATTTGGAAATATCAAAAGCCAAAATTAAAATGCATGGATTAGTCTGCTCATTATTATCTGAAACATATCCATCCTGTCCTACCTCCTTTATTAAAAAAAAAAATGTTTTTTGATACCTCTAAGCTCACAGTTTTTGTGGACTAATGTTTGGTAATATCCCACTGCCTTGAGTCATGGGCTAGATGTCTGTCCTAAGGAGGCTCCTGGGCTGTCCTTGTCCCTGTAGTGACCAGCAGCATGAAGGGATCTTTCTGTGAGCAACCCCATGGGTGGAAAGTATGTGTGACATATCATAGCTTGTTTGTATTTTATATATCTCATTGCTTCCTGTCTATATTCTATTTTTGTACTGTTGTACACTCCTCTAGCATCATGTACATGATTACATATGATTTTTCAGCTGTGCTTTATCTGTCTCTTTAGTAAATTTGAGTTTCCTTGTCTCTATCAAGAGGACAAGACAGCTTCCTTCTGACTATCACCTAGGCTGGCATATCTGGCAGTTTCTTTCCTCAGACCTTGTTATTTATACACTATAATAAATGGTATTAGGCTTAAATACAATAGTAATTAGATGCAATGGAATAAGAATAGGAAACTATTTTACTAAAATAGCTAACAGCATCGGGTAGAGGAAGTAATGGTACCAAAATATTGGCTTCCTTTAATGATACAATTAGTCCATCAAATGTTCTGTATGCAAAATGTCATTTCTTACTGAGTAAAAAAACTCATTCTAAGTGATGTTGCCTTTGTTCTGTTTTCAAGATGAAGAAAGCATGTAATCTAGGCAGGCAAAACAGATGTAGGAAGATATATTGACGCACATACAAAGTATTAGAAATATACACATTAACACACATATATGTTCATATTTGCAGTGGTGGCAGAACCAGTGCCAGGCAAGTTTTACTTACAAGGTGCCCCAATGGAAACTTTAGAGACTGCATCAAGGTCAACTGTCTCTTTGTAGGTTAATGCATTACTTCATTTTATTTATTAACTATTTTTCCCTAGAATTTAATCAGTTCAGCTCTCATTATCAAACATCAAGACACACATGACAGAGAAGAGCCAACAATTTAAGATTCCTCCATGGGCCTCAAACAGTTTTTTTTCACCACTTTTGGTTAATGTTTTAATCAGCTTGATTTTAGGAGTCAGTATGAGTTTACTCATACAGCGCTTTTTCTTCCTTAAGTTATTTATGAAAGCATGTCTTACCTAAAATATTTTTAAATATTAGGTTACTTAGTATCAAGATTTTCATTAGTTTCAATGGCAGCATATTTGTGAAGAGAAGTGCTAAGCTCTGTTACTGTACTGGCAACCATCCATTTTGATATGAAGACACCAATAGCAATTTTGAGATTTCTATTATATATTGTATGAGCTCTGAGCACCTCAAGAGTAAGTAAACAGAACTTTAATAAATGAACTCAAGAGAATAAGCTTATAAAGTGAATGGAACTTTTAAGAAGGATGTAATATATGCTCATTCTTATGTTTAAAGTTATATATCACAAATTGGTGTTTCATTCAAGAGATGGTTTCAGCATTTTAAGAATGCATTGTCCTTTTTACATACATTTATGGAGTAGTATCAGAATCAAGACAGGAATCTCTGTCTTTATGTGATAAAGATACTGATAAAATCCTTAGTTTAAAAGAGAAGTGTAAAAGAGGAAGGACAGATGACCTGGAGGGAATATAGAGACACTGTCCAAGGATGTAGAAACATGGTTAGAAAAGCCAAAGCCCACTTGGAGTTGAATCTGGTGAGAGATATGAATTGCAACAGGGAGAGCTTCTACAGAAACATCAGCAACAAAAGGACTAAGGAAAATATGGACTTGCTGCAGAATGTGGGTCTGCTGCTCCATGGCGGGGCTGGCAACTTGTTGACAAAAAGTATGGAAAAGGCTGAGGTACTCATTATCCTCTTTACCTCAGTCCTTACTTGTAAGACCAGTCCTCACTAGTCACAAGCCTGGGGCAATCATAACTTGCTTCACTCTTGTGACCAGCAACAGGACTTGAGGAAATGGCATAAAATTGAGTCAGGGGAGGTTTAGGTGAGATATTAGGAAAAGATTTTTCACCCAGAACGTGGTTGAGCACTGGAATAGGCTCCTTAAGGAAGTAGTCAAAGGACCAAGCCTGTCTGAGTTGAAGAAGGATTTGGACAATGCTCTCAGGCACATGGTGTGATTCTTGGAGTGTCCTGTGCAGGACTCAATAGTCCTTGTGGATCCCTTCCAACTCAGCACATTCTGTGATTCTGCAGAAGTTCTTCTGACCTGATGGCATGGACCCATGAGTATTGAGGGGACTGGTGGGTATCATTGCAAGATCATCCTTCATAATCATTTAAAATCCACTTTGGATTTATTTGCCTTTTACCAGATGCACACTCTCTTTTGGTTTGTTTCTTGTTGTTTGTTTTTTTTTGTAAAACTGAGATCCTCAGTAAAGAATGCATTTTGGGGTTTTTTTGACTACATTTATTTGCAGTTAAATATGATATAGGAGGCTTTCTAGTTATAGTAATAAATATACTAAGAAAATTTGGCTTCACAGGCTTACTCAAATGAAAACACAGTCTTGATTTAGATGAATGTGTAGTAAAAAACCTGTTTGGTCAGCAGTACTGACTCAAATCTCTCAGGGAAGTATACTAAATAATGATTTTCCCAAGGGTAATACTAGAAAGGGTAGTACTGACGTGGATACTGGTAGTACCGATAGTCTCAGATTTCAGTTAGTGAGTTTTCTATATCCATAACGGTAGCATGATGATGCATGAGGAGATTCAGCTCCTTTTGTGAAGAAATGCTGAACGTAGGCTCATTGTGACAATATTTGGTCTGCAGTAACCTGAAGGTGGGAATGTGCCATGTTTGGTCAAGATCTAAAAAGTTGAGGCAATTCATAACAAAAATAAAACCGAAAAAGAAATACTATCCTGTCCCCAGATGT